TAATATCTAACAACCCAGCAGCGTTTGCGACTAGTTCTGAACTAGTGAATTCACTAGTTCCCAGGTGTATAATACTAGTCGCTTCATAATCTACTTTACGTGGGCTCAACTGGTCAATTTTACAATGAGTTGTCATTGCCGGTCATCGGAACTATGGTAGTCTGTTCACTAGTTCATAAGGGTCAATTGTCTCCGTATCATACACTGCGGCACTAGTCTCTGCACTAGTTCTTTGTTTCTCATTTGTTTTGGTTTTCTCTTGTTCAAAAGTAATAGAATGCAATATCAAATTTTGTGCAAAAAAAATTATTGAGAAATTTATAAGTTCTAAGTGGCGATTTAACTCATCCCCACGTACCAGTCATTTCACTATTTCCTGTGTCTCCTAAAGAACTGCTGGGAACCTATACTTTGAAAACTTGACTTATGCACTCTTGACACGATCGAAAATAAGAACGTTTTTTGGTATGCTCGAATATCATAAATTATCTGATATTCATATGAGAACATCGCAATACTTTGATCAACAAAGGTAGTGAAAATGTTTGATTTAAAACAGGTACAGAATATATTCGACTATCCCAGTTGACCCTACTTAAATAGGGAGCAATCTACGAAGTTCATACACATGTCTCATAGATAACGGGTATGTGGGGCACTGCCGTTAAAAAAACTGTACTATCCTTACTCTTCAACTATCCTAACAACTTAACCCTTTTTAAATAACGAGGATTCTATGAAGTTCATACAGATGCCCCTTAGATATCTGTCTAATAACGAGTATGTGAGGCAATGTCATTAAAAAAATATCCTCTCCTTGCCACAACTAGAAGTAATGTGAAGAGCGTGACGCACACTTACTTTTTTACTGTTAAGTACATGCGTAATCTGGTTTAAGCATGCTTGGGACTCACGTTCTTATGGATTTTAGTAAGTTACATGTGATCTCTTCTCTAAAAACTCCTTATAGTTTATTAAAAGTTCGAAATAGTTTCAAACTCTTTTAAGTTTTATACGATAATATCCATATACTTAAGTGTATTCTCAGATACGTTGATAAGCTTATCTAACCTTACTTATTCGCTTACTATCTATTTCCATATCTGAACTATCACTACAAATATCATATAACCTTACTTATTCGCTTACTATCTATTTCCATATCTGAACTATCACTACAAATATCAAATGTATATGTGTAGCATGACGTAGAAGTATTTTATTAAACTATAGAATAATTGAGTTCTAGATTTGTCTACAAATTACTTAAATCTAGTTTAAGCATGTTTGGAACTCATGTTTTTATGGATTTTAGTTAGTTATTCCTTTTTCGATTTTTCATTTATTTTGTAAACAAAATAAATTTATTTATTATTTATTTTAAAAAAAAAAATTTTTTTTCTTAAAAAACTTTATTAATGTATATATTATATTATATATATATTATTACATAAATTAAACCTCAATGTAGATTCAAAATGTGTGTAAAGGGTATCTAAAGTTCGCCTAAGCCAAAGCCAAAGCTACATCTTAACTGGTTTTGTATAAAAATTTGTAGTAATTTACGATAACTCTTCTACACATACACAGCTGGTAATAGGGCGACCATAACTTGGATTTTTGATTTTAAAATATCGAAAATTCTCCACATTAATTGTCCACATTAACACGATGCTTTTCACAACAAAAAAAGTCCAGTAGTCCAACGGTCTTTGGGAGTCACATAATCTTTGGTGGTCCATTCACATCACGATACCAAAACCATATGTGTTGCGTGACTTGTGACAGCGTCCTATTTGAACCGCTTGTCTTTGATATTTATATCTTTAATTTCACAACAAAAAAAATGGGTAATCAAATTAGTAAATTACTGTAGCGATCGGAATTGACAGTGGACAGTGTCACATCTTCGCCATTTTTAAGAAGGTCTTTTACATCTCCAAATCATAATACACTGGCTTCTTGTGGATGAAATAGCGTTTCGACATTTATTTGTGGGTTACCCTAAATGTCATCCAATTAAACTTAAAATATGATATATCACTCAATGTTGTTTTATTGTTACTCTGCAACGTACTAAGCTGTTTCTCTGCACTAAAAAAAAAGATTTAAATCTTTAAAAGTGCTATTTAAAATCTACTGGATGGAGAAATAGTTATGAAAATGGCGAATTTAAATTAATGAACTAAAATGTAAACACTGTAATTTTATCTTTAATCGGACTATACTTCAAACAATTTTACTAAATAACATTCCCATACCATACACAGATAATATAACCTAAGTAGGTATTCACGTACATAGTCGACTAACTTTGCGGAAATACATTACAGCCAAAAAAGTACAAATGAAGCTTCAACCCTATAAGTTGCATTGGCTCATTAATAACAGATACTCCCTGTTCCTAGAGTATAAAGTATTCTTGTATAACAGCATCATAAAACCAATGTGGACTTATAGTATATCCAAAGATATTAGTCAAAAATACTGAGAACAATCACTGGTGCCCCATAGTATATAAGGAATGAAAGCATCCACCGAGATCAGAAATTCCCTTAGTTTAAGCTGAATTTGACAATATAAGATAAGAATACAATAACAGCTGATCCTTTAGCTAAGAAGCTTGAAATAAACCCCACTCTTCTTTTTAGTAATCTGACAAAGCTTAATTGACCTACTAAAATCAGCTAACATTCATTCCAATAAAATTTAACCCATTGATTTAAGTAAAGTCCGTGATATAAGGTTTACTTATTGTTTATTATAATAATATATATATAAGGTATAATTCAAATAAAAATTGTAATATTGTGTAATTAGTGATAAATTAGTGATAAAATTTTAAAACTTATTGTAAGTTTCATTGTCAGAGAAAATACAATAAATAAGTATATAGGTACCCTCTGCGCAAAAAGTACGCGGATTTTGTAAATAAAACACACAAATTTAAATTTTATTCCAAATTTATTTTATCTCCTTCAAAATATGCTCCTTCTGAAGCAATAAAAATATACCAACGCTTAACCCAATCTTCCATACACTTTTCGTAGGCCCGTGCAGGTATGGCTTTTAGTTCCTTCAGCGAATTCTCTTTTACCGATTCAATCGACTCAAAACGCTTACCACGGAGGGGCGATTTGAGTTTCGGGTACTCTCACATTAAAAGCTACTGTAAACAAACAAACAGCTAAACAAACGTAAACAAACAGATGGCGCTCAAATTCGTACCATATGTCAAGAAAGAGTGTACCAACAATTTTTGAAAAATGTCCATTACTTAAGGACTAGTTAACAAACAGCAAAATCTATACTTCGATACTATTCGATCGATACTTTTTGCGTAGAAGGTAGGTTAGGTTAGATTATACCGGTGATCCCTAGTGGATCCACTTAGGCCTATTGTCCCATTGTGATGCCGTATATAAATAATAAAAACCTCAGGGTTTAAAACCACCTAGAACCTTTTGCGAAGCATAAAATGCTATTTCCTCAAGAAAGGGGGCTCCTAGAGTACTAAATCACCGACGTACATGAGCTGGACAAAAACACAAAAGATGAGATGCGCTCTCATCGTCCTCCCCACAGCTACGACAGATTTGGTTGAAAGGAAGACCTAGTCTTCTAGCATGGTTCCCTAGTTTACAGTGTCCTGTAGTCAACCAGAAGACCAATGTCCTTGCGGGACATCTCAATTAGAGTTTTCGATTTCCTTTTATCGGAAAGTGGCCAGATTGCATACAGATATCTACATATCGTTGAGTCTTCCCATCTTTTGTTAAAAGTATTAGTGCAGAAAGAACTCAATAACAATTTACATGATGTTAGCGATATGTCCAGATAGTCTAGGTGCTCCGAGTATGGTTCTGAAGCACCCTTTCTGGCTAACTCGTCTGCTTTGTAATTTTTGAAAATATCCCTATGGTGCGTAGAAGGTATATATTTAAAAAAAAAAACTCTACTTAATTCATCTACTAAAGCCTTTAGACTTAAAAAACAACTGTAAACTGTCATTCTTATTATTGATAAAATATTAATATTTTACAAAATTACAAAACATTGCATCTTCCAGTAACAAAGTATATTTAAAAAAATTATTATTATTTGAACTAAACTCTCTAAAGCTTCGATTTTCATATAATTTTATAAGAATTTAAGTATAGAAAGCATTCTATGAATAGAGTGATTGGCATAAAGTTTATTTATAAAAATATTTTATAATAAATTTCAAGCCCTAAGCTAATAAAACACATAAAAATAATTGAAAGAAAAACCATATTTACTTGAATAAAATTTTATATTCTCAAGGAATGGGAATACACAAATCACTTAAGTAGCATTATCCATTAAGAATATAACAGAAACATACAAGGTTTATCATTAAAAAAACACTTTTCATCCTTGCAGTACTGGTTGTATGCATTCCTTGTAAGCTTAACAAGCATTTTATCCTTTTCAATGATGGCATTATGAACATCGTCCAAATACATTTATTGCACATATTTTATTCGCTACAACAGCATTTTTACTACCAGGATTCTCTACTCATCCCACAGCCGAGGATTCTTATTCTCACTCGAGTATAAATAGAAAAATTTACGCCTCATTTCTATATGCTTTGCTGTGCTGTGCTAAATTCGTGCTAAAAAACTGCTCCCCAGTTGGCTGCTATTGACTTCACGCCAAAAATATATTCTTCAGCTATTTTTTGTGGTTTGTTAACATAAAAAAGTTTAAAAAAGTTTAAAAATTTGCATAATTTTCGACCCCAGACAAGTTCAACAAAGTCAAATAAACATAATTTGAAAATTTTGTATTTTTGCAATTTAATTTCCAGAGACTTTGGGGTAGGCGTCTATAATTTCATTACTTTAGTCTTTTAACGCACATATTTATCATTTATTTATCTAAGAAATACGTATATTTACTTGAAAATATTTAAACTTTGCCATTTATAGATACTATATTTACTTATTTATACTTTCCTCTTCTTCTTCTTCTAGGTGGAAAATGTGCGTATGATTGATCGTTACAACTCGAAGAATCCCACTGTTGGCACTTTGTATTTAACTGCGACACATTTGATTTTCGTCGAACCAGACAGCAATAAGGAGACATGGGTGAGTAGACAGACGACTTCTTAAGACTTCAACAATTTTTCAACATGTTTAATAAATCGTATCATTAATTCCTTCTGGAATTACAAATAAAGGCACGTAGAAATACAATAACTCATGCATTCACATATATCATCGAATAAAACAAATAAATTGAAATCAATTCATGAAAATGTTAAAAATCCGACATCTAGAAAATTCTCACAACAAACTTTGATTTTACTTTGCATAATAAATGAGACTTCAGACGATGTGAAAGATGAATTTGTATCATTAAAAATAGGAATAAAGATAACTTATTTTAAAATTTTTTCTATGAAGCTACAAAATATATCAATCTTATTTTAATGTAATATATATTATTAGTACCAGTTTGTACAATAAGTTTACAGAATGAAAGCAAAATTTTTAGTTGTAAAAATTAATCCATTTTTCAATATAATCTTTCTCAATTTCAATATACTTATTGCAACTATCTTCCAATTTATGGATACTAAATTTGAAAGGTACACAATAGACCATAAACCATTATTATTACTATCTCTGTAACAATTTTCTATAAGGTCTGCAAAATACTCCTTTACAGCAAAAATAACCATTTCGTTTGTTCAAAATAATTTTCCATATAATAATTAGCTAAGATGTGGGAGGGTCAGGGAAAGCTAAACCTGAGACCTAGGCTGAAATCATATTTTCCGTTTTGTCGTAAGAAACTAAATTCTTAATATAAACTACTGTTTTTAATAGAGAGGTTTTTATCGAACAGTAGTGAAATTGCAACAACAAAAATTTTTTTAATTATTTTTTTATTAAGTTGAATTTTTGGTTGACCATACACCTGTTTCGAGTATTGCCAAATACACATCAGTAGTGGTCTCGAAATTATTTCTTATATATATTTATTCGTATATAAATTTTTAAGACTGCACGTAACTGGGGTTGAACTCGTGCCCTTCCAAAATTGAAGCTCAGAGTCAGTGTTCATTAGTCAAGTAACATAAAGTCATACTTGACTCGTGCCCTTCCAAAATTGAAGCTCAGAGTCAGTGTTCATTAGCCAAGTGACACAAAGCCATACTGGACTTGTATGTTCGACCTTTGGCGTTTTTTGTTAATTTGCTGTAAAAGTTCATAAACAAATTTGCTTGCTCTGTTATATTAAAATGCAATCATAAACCAACTGTAAAATAATTGAATAAATTATATCTTAATTAACTATTTAAGCGATAATTTTTTGAACTATGTAAATTTTCCACATTTAGTGCCACTATATATAAATATTAGAAGTACGGTATTCAGAATTTATTCTTTAATCTATCAAAAATATGATTAAATATAATTTGTGTTTGAAGTTTTTTTTTATAAGGTTAGAAAATATATTAATCTTTTAATAAATACTGTAACATAAAATTTACACTCGTAAATTTTACAACACAATAATGTAATAATACAAAACAAAATATATATAATAATAAAATAAAAAACAATAATAAAACTTGTAAACAACGCAAGGATGAAAACTTGTAAACAACGAAATTTACATCTCGATTTCTATTTTGTTTTATTTTTTTTTATTTTTTTTTATTTTTAATAGAAATACACATTTCTATTAAAAATTATTATTAATAACGAAATTAACATTTCGTTAGTAATAGAAATATAAATTTCTATTACTCATTTGCTCATAACGAAATCATATTTTCGTTAATAAATTACTCGGTAAGGTGATAATAACTCATGAATATTATCACCCATTCCAAATCCATTGTATAAAGAAGAAATTCACATTTCTTCAAACCTTTTGTCAGGGGCGTCGAAATTAACATTTCTACGCTAAATCCATTGTATAAAGAAGAAATTCACATTTCTTCAAACTTTTTGTCAGGGGCGTTGAAATTAACATTTCTACGCCAAATCCATTGTATAGAGAAGAAATTGACATTTCTTCAAACATTTTGTCAGGGGCGTTGAAATTAACATTTCTACGCCAAACCAACTAACTTCACCGAGGAAGGTAACCACATCATCGCACCAACGTCACCGTCCACCGTGTATTCACACATTCCACTGTTCCTAACAAATAAATTTATTGTAGGACTGGACCTGGAATCCGGCGAGCAACACCCCGGCCAAAAAGGTTCGTTACAATACTATTACCAGAATTAAATTGTACAATACGTTTAAAAATGAAAAATTAATTATTTTGTAATATGATTTTCCTCAACTTCAATGCACTTACTCCACCGATCTTCTGAAATCGTTTTCTACATAAGAATTAATTAAGGTGTGGAAGGACTCAAATGTCAGAGAGAGATTTTAATTTTTAAAACACTAAGATCTACTTCAAAAACACTGGAAAATCCTAAAAAAAGTTTTGATGATGGCTTTATCTCATGAAAAGTATTTTAAGCACTATCTAAGATCAAAAATATTCTATTATATATAGAGATTAAAATCCATCTAGTATAACTAAGGATCACTAGAACTATGCGTGGCTAACACCAAGCCAGATTCACTTAACTAAATCTAATACCACTATATTCTTCAATAAGGGCTTGGAATGACAATAAAACAACAGACTTTTTGTTTTAAAAATTAATTCATTTTTTAAATCAATCTGCCTCTACTTGAATTCCTTACTCCACCGATCTTCTGAAATCGTTTATCACATAAGAACTAGTTGGCGTACGGAAGGACACAGAAGTCAGAGATGGTTAAACCTTTTAAACCACTTAGATGTTCTCCAAAACACGCTTTAAAAAATTCTAATAAACTTTTTAACAGCTATATCTCATAAATAGGACTTTAAGTCGAAAAAATTTATACTACAGAATAAACACTATTTGATATCGCTAGGGATTTATAGATCTGTGCGTGGCTAACAGCCAGCTAAATTACTTTAGCTAATCTAATGCCACTATATTTTTCTAATGAATTATCTAATGTTAGAAGGGGAGAGTAGTTCTCGATCCAGTGACCCCCTCCCGCATCAGATTAAGGCTAGGCAGTCACAGAAAGTATGACTGAAAGTCTCGTCTGCTTCTAAGCAGAGTCGACAATCTATCTCCTCGGACAGACCCATTTTGTTAAGGTGATAACGCAATCCATGGTGACCCGTTAAATATCCCACCAGCAACCTCAACTCTGTTCTGTTGAAGTACGATACCTTACCATAACTGTAGGGGTGAACCAGCTGTTTAGCCTGACGGTTGCCTCGACTGTACGCGCCAGTAGCGACTTCTCTCGGCTGAAAATCATTTACCAATTAGATACCTAAATGTATACCAACTTAATCCACAATAAAGCTCTGGTCCACAGATTTGAGTGGTAGATCCTGCCCTTGCCAGACTGTCGGCAGACTCATTACCATTGATTCCTCTGTTACCAGGCACCCAGCATAACATCACTTTGTTTTTGCTTGTCAGCTGTTGCAGCCTATCATAGCAGTCTAATAGAAGGTTCCACTAAATAATAGTAAATTTATGTTTTTAGAGTAAGCCTTTTTTGTTCAAATGGGAATATATTTAATATATTGAATTAATATTGTAATTTCATTGTTGAAGTAGAATTACATTTATTTTTCAAATTGTTTAAAGCCATAATTATTTAATTTTGCTTAATTCAACTAATTTTTTTTTTTAAATAAATTTTCATAAATAATAAATGAACTCAATAAACATATTCTGTTATAAAACAAACTATCTAATCCTTCTGTTACTAATATTTATTAACACATATTTGCCTCTTATGAGAGGTTTACATATCTAATTTTTTAATCCATCTACTGATCCTATACTTTTTAATTACGAAATTACATCACTCTTTGTCTATATATAATTTTTATCACATTTAAGAATGAAAACTTATCTCTCTCATACCTAAGTTACAAATTAACCAAATCCTTTTTTATGAGGCCTTAAGCTCGCAATTTTTTCCTGCTTCAAAGTTGGCATGATTCGTATTATTTGATAATTAAAAAGGCACTTCAATGAACTTCATCCGTCCTTGCTTTTCTTCAAGTACAAAGTGTTTTGTTGACGTCAAAAGTATAAAAATTATTTTTAATATTTTTTTTCATTAAATCCTTTTTATAAAAGTTATATCCTTAAAAAGTTTACACTTTGTTGACATTTTGCACTTTCAGGAAGAGTCTATGAAAGATTTTGCCTGAAAACTTTAACAAGCATTCGCAAGAGCAGAAATGTATATATCTGCAAAATATGTTACTTCGCAAAGTATACTTCTTGAACAACCTCAATGTAAAACAAATTAACGTTTTAAGTACAATTTTAAATGATTTATGAATAAGTTTCGATCTCTGATTTTGAGATTCAAAAAATTAATTATTTTTTTATTTTTTTTTTTGTACTGCAGAGCAACTACAATTCCTGCGAGAATATTAAACAATAAGTGCAGAAAAATTTTTAAACATGTGTGTGGCCAATGATCAACCTTTGAACAATACATTGGCATGTGAATGTCTATTTATTTTATTTTGAATATTATTTCAAAAAATAAATAATATCATCATAACTGTAAAAATATTTGGATTTGAATATTAATATTACTCTAATTTTGTTGAACAGAAACCAATAAAACGATAAATGAAAAGATTAAAATAAAAAAAATTGTATTTATATATATGGTTTATATTGAGTTTACCGACAAATCAAATTATAATAATTATGATCTACAAATCGCGTTATCAAATCTCAGAATGGTTACAGGCTCCTCGGGGAGGTATGCAGATCTGAGGTCAATTATTGCTTAGTCCGATGAAGTGATAAACAATAATCCAGTTAAGACAAAGAGGGATTTTAAAAATACCTCGAGTAAAGAGTAAAAGTGCTCAAGTGCACTGGCTCGAATAGCTTCAACATAATAATAATGAGCTACAAAATAACAACGAATAGATCACTTATTATACATTAATGTATAAAAGTTTTAAAAGTAAAAAGTTTTAGAATTACTATCTTTTACTTAAAAATCCTTTAACCTTACAGCGTAGTTAGTTAGTTAATTGAAGTTGAGGAAGGAACGAACGCTCCTCAATAAGCTAAGAAAGCTGTTTAATTTCACAATTCCTTATAATAATGAGTAAAATAATAGACAAGTTACAACCATCAGAAGCATTCATAAATGTAAGTCTCCGATCAATGCTAATACTGGAAATATCGCTTAGTGCGTCAAAGAATGGGGCACCCAAAAGCTTAAGCTTGGTTCTGGACAAGCTTACTATGTCCAAGCTTACTGTGTCTACACACTGCAGGTGTTTTGCTGTCCTTTCTTTAAGTGCTGATAGACATGTGGTATAGTGCCCTTTTAAAACAGATATTAGCCTAGATACTTCTGATAGTTCTTCTGTGTACCAAGTCAGAGGTTCTACATTTGGAACCACTGACATCGTACAGTAGACTATAATATTTTAGATATGCTTTACTGATAAAATTCAAGTAAAGAGAATTAATTAATTCTTTTTGTTTTTCTTAAGACTTGTTGATTAGTTATTGATGCAATTACGTTCTTTATGCATGTCTCAAAACCAAATAAATTAATAAGTTGAATTTATTCTAATATATAACTATCATATAAAACTCTAAGTTTGAACATACAAGTCAAGTAAGACTTTGGGTCAGTTGGCTAATGAAGACTGATTCTGAGCTCCAATTTTGGCAGGGCACGAGTTCAACTCTTGTTACTTGCAATCTCAAAAAAAAAAATTAATAAAAATAATTTATGAACAATTAAATTTAAGAAATAATTCCATTGATGATATGTATGTATTTGGTAATACTCGAAATAGCTGTATGGTCAGCTAAAAATTCAATTAATTAAAAATAATAAAAATTTTCATTGTTGCAATTTACTTCTATTTAATAAAACCTCTCTAGTTTTTTTTATATTAAGAACTTAGTTTATTTCGTCAAAATGGACGTTGGTAAGAGAATTAGTATTCATACTTTAATATGTTCAGCGGTTGTTAAACATATTATGATCCATATTATAAAATGGTAAATCTCACACTACACACATGATTGTTTGGTTGATAGTTCTGTTTGAGATCTGTTACTAAAACAGTGTTAACAAATCAGGATCAAAAAATGGATATCGCTTTAAGTTAAAACAGTGTTCTTAATAAGATAGAGTTTTCTAGTGTTATCGTGACTGCTGTTTTTTTACATTATTTACAACTAGATCAAGTTTTTTAATGCTACGTCGATCTAATAGGGTCTCGCTCTCCTCAGTTTTTGTTTTACTAATATGTGGTTAGAGCATATTTTAATGAGTGTTCGTACTACATAAGATTGAAAACGAGAACACTAAAGCCCTGTTTATAACTCGTAAATACAGGCTAAAGCCTTGTTTATAACTCGTAAATACAGGCAGCATCCATCAATCGTG